TTCAAGCTTTATTAGTTTCTTTGATTTCCTTTCAAGTTACAATCATGTTAGGTTGTGTTGATATTGAATATATGCTTATGTCAGTTGTTATGGCTATTCTCTTCCTTCTAGATTAGGTTTTTAGCTAGGGAAGAGGGTGAAAATCATGAGTATATGATTATCTATTGATTATTGATTGGGATTTATTCTTGAGTTGATGATTTGAGCTAAAATATGCTTGGAGTTAGTGTGTGCACCACTAATCCTAAGAGTCTAGCCCTTGATTGAATGCATGAGAATGATTTAATCTAGGTGTGAATGATTTCATCCACTTGCTTGAGTAGTTGCATGAGAATGAACTATCTTAGGTAGAGTTTATACTCCTAGAATTGGTTCCTTATTGGTTTTCATTAGTGTTCCTTGTTCATGATTGAATCCCCCTCTCCCTAGTGCTTTGTCATTGTTATCTCTCTAATCTTGTCCATTTATTTGCATTTAAGAGTGTTTAATCTATTTCTATTGTTTTTAGTTTATTCTAGGCTCAATAGTAGTTGATTTATCCATAGGATTCTTCAAACACAAATCTCAATACCCCTTTTTTGTTACTAGCAATTTATCCTAGATTTAGTATTAATTGTGCTAAACCCCCGTTTCCTTGGGAATCGACCCTACCTTACCGCTATCTAAAGTAAAATTGATAGAGTTAGGATAGGAGATATAAATTGAAATTTTGATCTAGGATAGTAAACTAACGACCTATTGTCCACCGATCAGTAGCCGATTGTGGTGGAAGCATCTAAAGAAGCTGCGCCTGATGCCGAGACAAGTAAGAAGGATGCCTCTTAGAACCAGGTGTCCCATACTGATCAGGCGGCAATCAATATCGAAACTCTACCACAACCTTAAAGCTTTTTATATTCAATCTTTTCTTCGGCCTGCGTGCCGTTTGTTTTTGTATCTCTTTACCCGGCCGAGGGGCCGGGGTACCGAATATTTTGCCGGTCTTTATGGCCGGCTATTTATATGATTTCAGCGACCATCTTTTTTGTCGTCTTTGCTTATCCAGGTTTCGAATTTTACTTTGTTTTTTCAAATTTTTTGCTAAGTGTCGAGGATCCTTGATATCCGCTTATATGTCATACCGACTGTTTTACATGGCCAAACGTTGCGAACAGGTACAATGTGAGGGCTGCTTATGCCCCTGGTCGACTAGTTATCTTAGTTCCAGGTTAGGCGATCAGTCGGCCATTTACCCAGTCGGACCCCAACATATTTTGATGAAAACGTTAGGTTTGCTTAACTTGAAACAAGTTAGAAAAAAAATAGAAATAGTTCCCGAGTCCTTTCTTGCCAAAAAGCAGTCGACCTGTGAACCAACTTTTCAAACATGCTTGGTTTGAAGAGAAAACATCTTAGCAGGGTTTGGGTACGAAAGCTCTGGTTCGCCTTTAGGCAGGTGGACTCGTCATACCTTTTGAATCCTGGCTAAGTATGAGAGTGATTATGGGTAACCTTTGAGGTTACTCAATCGTCATGTTTATGCTTGAGTAGTAGAGGTACCAAACGGCGTAGGCCGGCTAGTCCCTTTGATTCAACAATTTTGTTGGTTATTTACTCAAGATGCGATAACCTAGTAAGAAGAGGGGTTTGAATGCTCCTCTATAAGAAACAGGAGGTATATTCAAAAACCTTTTAGATTTCGAACCAAGTTTTAGGGAGTGACTATAAGTTGACATTGATGTTACTTAGTCACCGTCACTTCTGTTTGAGTAGTAGAGGTACCAAGCGGCGGAGGCCGGCTGGACCCCTTAATTCGCCAATGTTTGTTGGCTATTAACTCAAGAGGCACCGGCTGTACTTATCCCAAGTAATACAGTCGGTTATCCGACGCGGATGCTAACTGCTAACACTCGTTGGATCAGTGATAGAGTTATCCTTGTCTCAAAAACGGCTACTTGGTTGTCTTTGTGGACAGTCGTATAGGTGTCGTGTAATTAGTTTATAGAACAATGTTCCACCCAAAAGGGAGCTGCTCTCTGCGACAAATTTCATCCGAATGGATGCCGCCGGACGCCTGCTATGATGTTGGGACAGGTCGGATTAGTTTTTTTATAAAAAAAAAAGTTGGATCAGTTAGCTGGGCGCCTGGTCTGATCATTTCGGCCATAAGCCTTAGGTAGTTCTTTGGTGAACTAAGTATGGGAGAGTAGTCGGCTGTATAGGTACAGGCGGCATGCCCCTCTTTATTGAATGCGTATTTGAAAACTATGGAGAGTAGCCGACTGTTTTACCAGTAGGCATGCCCCTTTTAGTACAAAATAGATGAAGTGAAATAGCAAACTTTTATTAGTAGCTCTCGGCTATTTACATCATTCAAAAATAATACTTTTTGAGATTATCTACATTCCAAGTTCGAGGCAAGGGTTGGTCGTCTGGTGTTTCCAGGTGGTAGGTACCGTCTCGAACCTCTTCATAAATTCGGTAGGGTCCCTCCCAATTGGGATTTAGCTTGCCTGCCTCATTAGCCCTACCGACTGCTTCCATTTTTCTTAGAACAAAATCACCCACTTTGAGTGGACGCCTGTGCACCCTTTTATTGTATGACCTTGTCATTCTCAGGCGGTAGATTTCATAGCACAGAGCCGCATTGCCCCTTCTTTCTGGAAGTGAGTCCAATGCCAAGCGCATAGACTCCCAGTTCGCCTCTTCGTCATACAGCATTACTCGAAGAGTCGGCTCGTAGTGTTCAATTGGAAAAAACAGCTTCTGCACCATAGGTTAGGAGAAATGGAGTTTCCCCAATCGATCTTTTTAGAGTTAGGGTGGGGGGTCGCCTCTCAACCCTGTACAGGCTTCCTTCTACCAGACTGAGAAGGTTTCCTATCCGACTACTCCTTGGAGGGAGCAGGCGTCTTCTTATTGATTAATTCTTGGATCTCTCCTTTGAACCCCCTCATGAAGGTCATGAGTTCGTTTCTTGTAATAGGAGCAGATCCTTCAACCGCCTGTTGTTGATCAGGCGGTGAGCCGGCTGGATTGCTGGGTCCAGCTTGGTAATATACCCGTTCTTTCCTTTTAGTGTGACGGGTGCGTCGAGCTCTTAGGGTCCCGTCAGAGGCCGTGTGAGTCTCGACATTGACTTCATAAATGAGGATAATAAATGCTTATTAAACTATCAGCTACTATTCTTACTTCATTAGCCTTAGCTTCATAAAATATACTAAGCATATTCTGATATCAGAAAATTAATCAATCAATCGGATACTATCTTCACAGATGATGCAGTAAGATGAATTTAGGATATACCACATTGAAGCAGCTGTTATACTATGTGTTTTGGGGTTTTCTGATTACCTGCGGGAGAGTTACAATTTCGAGACTGGAACCGTGTGCCTGTACCTGCAAAGCAACGGAGACTCCGGGTGGAAGGAGCTCCGCCTCCGACGGTCAAGTTAGTACTTGTTTAAGGAGTAATTAATGCAGAAAAAGGTAAAGGGTTTTCTCTAGGTGAGAGTAATTAATTGGCGTAATCTCGTTTAATGAGGATTAATGATGACATTTATATGCCTTGGGATGCGTGCATGTCTTAGGTTTAGGTCAACCTAGGGCTTCTTGGGCTTCCACAAGACTTTGGACCTAGGTGGCCAGTTTCTCTATTTGGCATCGGGGAGGACACGTGTCGTGTCGTAATTAGTCCATGGTGGACTGATGAATACCTAACACGTGGCAGGCTCTTGTTGGCCCACGTGGCGGACACATGGCATAACTTGATTGGTCCAGTTGTCAGGTGATGATTGGTAGGGAAAAATCCCCTAATCACTATGCTTACAAGTGTTTGTTGCAGGTTGCAGGTTGCAGGGAAAATTTGCAATTGATGTTAGTGAGGCGCTGGCTGCTAGGAATGCTTTGCAAATCGCAATTGAAGCAGGTCTCAATAAAATTATATTGAAGACGGACAATGCTAAATTGTACCATCATCTCAAGAGCAACAAACGAGAGAAATGAGGTTGCTCACATATTAACACATTTGAGTAAATGTTATGTTGAGATGAGAGTGTGGATCATAGAGGTGCTCGATGGTTTATCGGATGTAGTGGTTCTTGACATTTCAAGTCTTCCTTAATAAATTTGCTTGTTTGCTTTGTGTCCAAAAATAAAAAAAATAAAAATAAAAAGTAAACCTATTAGCTCAAATGGTAGAGCACTATGCGAATGCATAGAGGTGTAGGTTCGATTCCTACATAGGTTATATTAAAAAGTAATTACAAAACACTTTAAAGTAATTCAAAACATCTCAAAAGTATATCAAAATAGCTAAAACATAAATCAAAAGTAAATAGTATTTACTTAAAAGTAAATAGTATCTACTTAAAAGTAAATAATATTAACTCAAAAGTAAATAGTATTTACTTAAAAGTAAATTATATCTACTCACAACTATTCAGTCTAGGGTACACATTGCTAAAAAGAAAAAGCAGGGTATTAGTTTACCAACATGTTTTATCTTTAACCCTGAGATAAGTGACCTTGAGTTTCTAGTAATAAAAGTATATACAAAATAAGTTAAAGTAAATAAAATATTTATTAAAGTAAATAGAAATGAAATTCACCTTCTCTACTTCTAAAATAAAGAAATTGCTATGATAAAATGCTTATTGACAGTCTCTAATTGCTATGAATGCTTAAATACGTAGTGTAAGATTATAAGACCTTCTGTCATACCTTTAATCCTTGGATAAGTGAGCTTGACTTCCTAAGTAATAAAAGTAGATACAAAATAAGTTGAAGTAAATAAAATATTTCTTAAAGTAAATACAAATGACCCTACGTGGGATTCGAACCCACAATAAATAAATAATTACTCAAAAGTAAACCAAATAATCTTAAAAGTAAATAAAATAATCTATAAAGTAACTGCAATAAAGCCTTGGGTTATAGTAACATAGTTTTGTTCTTTTATTTTGTACCTGGGTAGGGGTTAGAGTTGGAGATGGGGCATGTCATTGTTTGGTGATAAAGTGTTGAACTCAAAATATCTCAGCTCAAAAATAAATAAAAAAGGCTAAAAAGTAAATTAAAACATCATTAAAGTAAATAAATAATATTACTTCTACTCATGCTTCTGCTGCTCCTCCTGCACAGGTTGTACTCTTGCTCAAAGCAGCTTCCCGATCATTTACAAGAAGGTGGATATGGATGCATATGTTTGAGTGGGGCGGGCTATTAGGCTTGGGACAGTGACCATGGATGAGTTGGATAAGGTTGTAGCAGCTGGAAAAGTATGCTCATACAATCATACTACACTTCTTCTGCAATTGCTGAAGCTCTCGCATTAAGATACGACCTCCAACTAGAAAGAAGATTGGGGTATTTAAAAGTAAATAAAAAAGAATCTAAAGTGAATAAAAAATACTTTTAAGTAAATTGAATGAAATACACACAAATAATTGAAAGAAATAATTTCATCTCATAAATAAACCTACGTGGGATTCGAACCCACATCGTTTGTGCACTTGCACAATGCTCTATCTATTGAGCTAGTAGGCTAGTGTATATTGTTGAAGTAAAGAAAATTACTCAAAAAGTAAATTAAAAAAATAAAACGATCTCAAAAGTAAATAAAACGATCTCAAAAGTATTCCTCAATTGAATGTTCACATTATATTAGTATTCCTCAATTTCAGCTTTGAATTGATTGAAATTGAATAGTTTAATCAGTCGTCTTAAGAGACTATTCGAAATTTCTTGTCAAACAGTTGGATTTTCTGATGAAAAAAAAAAACGTAATGCAAGACAGAAATTTACCCTAAGAATAATTTACATGATGAGAGTCTCCTCAGCAATCCAATCTCTTGTGACATGATTTTCCCTGCTAGAAATAAAATTCTGCAAACAAGCGACTGTTAGATATATGCTGAAAATAATAAGATTTCACCTCACCTAAAAAGAAGTAAAATATAGAAATGCAACTCATAAGACCAAAGACCTGCATAAAACTGAAATCATTGAAAATTATTCTGTGCGAATCATGAACTTGCCACAGTTAATCAGCAGTGCAACAGTTTTCTGTAAGGGCAGATGAATAGTTTTATAAACTGCATCCCCACATGAAGGTAATACTCCATAGAAAATGTCAGATATCGGTACCCCTCATCTCTATCAAAAAAGTTCCTGTTAGAAATCCTGCATAAGGACTGAGTTTGCCATGTAAAGAAAATAATGACAGAAAGCTCACAAAGACACAACAGCAAGTCTATACTGATTTTCTGAAGGATTTCCAATAAATTTAAAATTAGGAAATCAAAAGAAGAAACAAATTCCACACATAGAAAGCTCAAATTGCTCAAAATGCTTAAATTAGCAGCAGTACAACTCACAACGAATGCATCAGCATTTTAGGTTCACCGCCCCCACAGACTGGGCACATCTGATCCACACTCACACCCCTCCTGATTAGATTACCAAGAACAGCTACATCATTGTGCAACGCTCTCCATCCGAAAAGCTTAATTTTTGGGAGTAGCTTTGTAGCTCATAGAACTCCCATGCCTGGAAATTGCTCACAGCAGTAGAGGCGTGAGCATTTCTTTAAGCCTGAATCTCAGCATGGTATGCGCTCTAAAAGTATATACAAAACACTCAAAAGTTGATCAAAATACCTCATATGTAAATAAAAATGATTTAAAAGTAAATCACATTAGATCTAAGGTATAACCATGTCATCCATATGACAAATAACCATGTCATTATCCAGGCCATATGACAAAAAAGTCTATAACAAGCAATGACATACACAACATCTGTAACATAAAAGAGAAACCATTGTATATAGTTCCCAAATGAGAAGATGAGAATGAGTTCACATCATCACATGTTCATAATATAAACGCAAAAGTAAGTTAATAAATCTAAAATGTAAATATCAAAATTAATCTATGAGAATAGTATAAAGTTAAATTAATCTAGATCTGAAAGCCACAATCAAGAACCAATATCAAATTACTTCAGAAAAGAAAATCAAACCAGAATGCTGCAAATTTAGCAATTAAAATGTATCAACTATATCAAACGAATTATAATTATTACAACCAAATAACAATAGAACATAAAATTACTACCAAAACAATATGGAATCATATATTTGATTAAAATAAGCGAACAAAAAAAATCAATCGAACAAAAATTATCAAAAATGAACCTTAATTTCAACAATATAAATTTCAAATATGCAAACATTTAATTGCAAAATCCCTAAAATATGAACTATAATCACAAATACTGAAACAAATAATTGGGAAAACCCTAATATCCACAATCAAATTCGCAAAAACTTGTTTCAAAATCGAATTGAATCAAAGCAACAACAAAAATGAAAATAAATCAACTTACCTGCCCATTTATTTTCCTAAGCAACAATAATCAGAGATAGATAACTATCAGCGCATAGGCGCTATTGATGAAGGAAGCAAATAGGATGACAATCTATGTAAATATGTTGAAGTTGGGTGGGGACAAGGTGCCACCTGGAGGAAAAAATAACGGGGCAAAGAAAGTGAAAACGGGGAAACCAAAATCTAAGCGGCAAACCAAAATGAAGTCTGACAAAGCAACTTTCCTCTTTCATTCCTCTCCCTTCTTAAAGCAAAGTTTGACTGTTCAATGGCGAATTGAGCGAAATTATATTGAAGGCATTGAAATCCTGTCCCAGGTGCATTAAAACCACTCAAATGGCGTAAATTTGTCAATGGAAATTGAGGATGAGAACGAGGTTAGCTGACATTCTTGGCGTGGATGTAGCTGAAGCAATTGGTGACGGTGGACAACATGGACATGGCTGCGCTCAGGAGCTGCATTTTGATTGTGAAAATGTAATTTTCATACATGCATTATTGTAATTAATCAGTTTGAAGGTAGATTTGTAATTAATTTTGGAAATGGAGAAGTGTGATGTAGTCGTTTATAGATGGTTAGTAGTTAATTTGTGAATCCGAACTACATTTTGACAATGCGAAATCGTTTAACTGCTGATTTATTGGGAGTTGATTTAGCGGAAGCATTGCGTGAAGGTGGTGAAGGTCATGGTTGCGCAAGGGAGTTGCGGTTTGATAGTGAGAATGTAAGTGTTTGAAACCCCTATGTAGGTCGTTCTGTTGTGTATGAGGTAGTCGTTTGAGTTAATAGTTAGTAAGGCATGAATTGAGGGTGTAAACAAAATTGAATTAGCTGAAAAGGTAGGGTTTTTTGGTGTCTCTCAATTATTGGTATTGTGCCAATTTATAGTTGTTGTTGATAGTGATTAAATAAGTAGGCATATTGTTTAAATGTAAGTCATTTAATTTTTTGAGTGATTGTTGTTGGTATTGTTAGATTGTTGATTGTAACCTGATCAATTGGTGAGTGTGGTTAATCTGTGTTGTGTCTGTTGGATTTTGGAGAAGGTTGAAATTAATAGTGAGGGTTGTCTTTAAATTCTAAAATTAATACTTGGAAAATGGTTGTTCATTGGTTTGGTGGTTTCTGTAGCCATGAAAATGATGTTATGTATAATGTATATATTGTACTTTGTGTTACTTGTGGTGGTTGTGTTGTGTATATGATTGTTTTGTGGTTGTGTCATTGTTATAGGGGGGTGATGGTGGTGAGGATGATGTATGTGCTAATGAGGAGGGATTTGAGAGTGAGCATGGGTATGGAGAGGGAGATGAGGAGGAGAATGAACATGGAGCAGAAGATGATGGAGAGGAATGGGGGTCAGATTATGAGGAGGTTGAAGTGGAGGAAGGAGTTGAAGATGAAGGAGTTGAAAATTGAGGGTTATAAATGAGTATTTGAATTGGATAATTATAAAATGTAGACTCTTTTAATTAGATGAGGAAGATGTTAGGCTTAGGTACCTTTGTTATGGTTAGGACCCTTTATTGTAAATTTGATATGAACTTTAATCCAAGTAATTGAGTAAGTAAATGGCTAATTGATAATGTTAAATTGCCATAATCTTTGATATGAAAGTAGATTGTTCATTGTTATTTGATAAAATGGTTGTTGTAGTTGAGTTGATGAAATTTGTTTAATGTATTATAATTGTTTGGGAATGTGTTGGTTTAAGAATGGTAATGGAGTGAAGGATGAGTTGCTGCTATTTGTATGAGTTATTGGCGAACCTGTTTGTGTTAAAAATTGTACAAACAAAAAAAAATAAGCTTTGAACTTGTTATTTATCGAACCAGTTGCTGTTAAAGAAGGTAAAAAAATAGTTTTGTTATGAATTATGTGATCATATAGTTTGTTGAGTTTGGTGTTGTCGTGTATGTGTTTGGTTATTGGTTGTTTGTTATAATGTTGTATTTTCAATGAGTCATGGTTTTGCATGTGAATTAGGTGGATGTAGCTGATGGATATGAAGATGGTGGGGAGGATGATGTATCTGTTTATGAGGAGGGATTAGAGAATGTGGGATTAGTGAGTGATGATGGATTATGAGAAGGTAAGGTGCAGGAGGATGAAGAGGGGGAAGGGTTTGAGGTTGAGGATACAGCGGCAGATTACGAGGAAGATGAAGGTTCAGCCTGGTGTTAAAGGGGAATTTGATGGGGCTGGTGAAGAAGGTTCCTCATTCATAACCCCAAAAAAGAACATGATAATGGTGCACACTGTGTTTGGTGTGGAAGAGGAAGTACCACCCCCAAGTTTGGGCATGGTATTTGAGAACTAGGATGAGTTGGATACCTATTTCTGGAGTTATGCTAGGCAAAAGGGTTTTGGTATAGTGAGGGCTGCTTGTGGGTGGGTGGATGTGAAGAAGGAATTGGAAAAGGGGAAGTGTTGTAAGCAGAGAAGGAATGCAAAGTGGACTTGTGACTGTTATGGTTACCCTTCAAGGAAGAGTAAACAGTATGCACTTAAGGAAGGGTTGTTGCAAGATGAGGAGACAGTTCAGAAACGGAAGAATAAAAAGTGCGGGTGTCCTATGGAGTTGTATGCCAGTGTTAATGAGGAAGGGAACTGAGTTGTTCGAAGGCTGAATTTGGAGCACAAAGGTCACATTGTTACTCCGGGAAAGTCAAAGGATGTAGCGATGTACCGGAAGTACGAGTTAATGGTGAAAAACAATCACTTGGTGAAGCAGGTGCATACGGCGAAGAAGTCTAAGGTGAAGGTATCCCAAATGTACATCTGTTATGCTCGGGAGCGTAATGGAGTGAAAGAGATGACATTTACGCAAAGAGACTTGGAGAATGCAGTGGCTCAGAAAACGAGACTTGAGCTTACTGAGGGTGATGTGAATGGCATGATAGAGTACTTCAACAAAATGAGTGCCGACAATCAGAATTTTTTCCATCTATGTCGGTTTGGGAAGGACGGGGCATTACAAGATGTTGTGTGGGTAGACGCGAGGAGTAGAGCTGCGTATGAGGAGTTTGGAGATGTTGTGTGTTTTGACAGTACGTATTTGACAAACAAATTTCACCTTCCCTTTGCTGTGTTTATTGGTGTGAATCATCATGGGCAGAGTATTTTGTTTGAGTGTGCATTGATCTCTCGGGAGACAGCGGAGACCTATGAGTGGGTGTTGAGGACTTGGCTACATTGCATGGGGGGTAAAGCTCCTATCTCAATCCTAAAGAATCAAGATCCGGCGATTAGGAAAGCTATAAACTTGACTATGCCTGAGAGTTGCCATAGGTGCATATGACACATACTTTAGAAGTTTGGGAGGTATGTGGGTAAGCATGCGGACTATGAAGCTGTAAAGGATGAGTTTGAAAATATCATTTATGGTAGTTTAGATGCTGATGAATTTGTAGATCGTTGGGTGGACGCAGTTGATTATTACAAACTAGGAGATAACAGTTGGCTCGAAGGTACTGCAATTCGATTTCTTCCCTTTTTTTTTTTGTTTTTTGTTTGTGATTGTTGCTGATTTCTGTTAGAATATGCATAGGTGTAGTTGTCTGTGTTCAGGGGACTGGAAGCTGTTTCAGTTCTGATTTAGGGTAGGAGCAGGTTTAGTGGTAGACTTTTGTACCACTGAATTTTTTGTTGCAAGTTTCTTAGTTGTGGTACTAAGACAGTGAATGTACCATTCACCGGAGTCCAGGTGTATAAGGTTTGTATGTTTTTAAATGGGCCATTAATTACAATTATTTGAAATGTATGGCTGTATGAGGAAAGCCACATGTGGATCCCAACCTATTTGAAGCATTTATTCTGGGCCGGGATGATAATGACCCAGCGTTCTGAAAGTTTCAATCACTTCTTCAAAGGTTATGTTGACAAGCATACAACGTTTTCTGAATTTGTGCTTCGATACTGCGATGAAATGCAGGTAAGGGCCGAGTTAGAAAAAATTGCGGACTCTAACACACTACGGTACATTAGGCATGTAGCTACCGATTTCCCAGCGAGGAAGTGTTCCAAAAGTGTTACACGGACGCGAAATTCAAAGAAGTCCAGTAGGAGTGCAAGAGGATGTTGTACGTGCGTCGCCTAGATGACTATGAAGTTGGTGAGAATCAAGTTGAGTTTGTTATTGAGGACCGAGTGTGGATCAAGCCAAAATATGCAAAAAAAGAATCTGTGACTAAGACTCGGAGATGCTACAGGGTGTGCTATGACAGTAATACATATGAAGCTAGTTATGGCTGTAAACAGTTTGAGTGCCATGGAATCATTTTTTGACATATGATCTTTGTGTATTACCATTGCGGTGTTTCTTTTGTTCCTGAGAAGTATATTCTACGGCGTTGGAGGAAGGATATTCAAAGGAAACATACACGAGTGAATGTAGCTTACCATGATCCACTTAAAACCGATGAAGCCAAGTAATATCACAAATTGATGGGGATGTATGAACCAATTTGCTCTAAGACTTCAGCTTGTAAGGACGGTGTTGAGGCTGTGGCAGAGTTGTTGCAATTGATAGACCTCAGAGTTAATGAAGTGTTGGCAATGGTTGCCAAAAAACAGGAACAGGTAGCTAAGGATAATGAAAATGAAGGTCAGGATGATGGCGTACATTGTGTTGTTCGGACGCCTTCTTCTGTGGCTTTAAACAAGGGGTCGGGTTGTACAAATACACTAGCTACACATGCATCTGGGTTGCCAAATACAATCCCTACACCAGTTAGTGCCGTTGTGGGGAGTTATGATGGATCTGTACCAACAGTGATTAGGGATCCACCGTTGCCCAAGAAGAAGGCCCATCGTACAACCAATGTAAGGTATCCATCTTGCACAGAGAAAAAGGGAAAAGAAAAGGCTGCTAGGGCGAAATACGCAGCAAAGAAGCAAGCTGCGGCAGCACAGAACAGTATGTCATTGTCAACGAATGACTATGTACGATCGGTTGGAGGGATTCAAATGAAAGATGTGGATGGTTCCTTAGGGTACTTCACTTCTGTTAGGGGAACAAATTCTGGTGGTTTTTTTGCAAGTGTACTAGGTACTCCTGGTACATCAGGTTCTAATCACTTGTAATGTAATCGATTCAACTGGTTAATTAATGCATTGGAATGTATTTGTTGTTTAAACATGTTTTAGTGGTACACTTATCGTGCATGAACTGTACCATTGGGCAGTTATATTCATGTGTTTCCTGTGAATGTGCACCTTATGATTCGCAGATTGTT